ACTCAGCCGGCAGGAATGTGGGAGTGCGGCGCTGCTCCGCTCTAAAAGCCTTTTAATTCCAGCTTGGTGATGAATGGGCAAGGCCTGAAATGAAATGTTCAGAGGCTCAATGTACCAGGCCTCCCGCTTGTAATTATTTTTGTACAGAATATGTCAAGTGTCGTGCTTCACAAGAACTCGTTTAGCATGCAAACATTTTGTGATTAAGTGAGGCTTACTTAATTAAGCACTTTGTAATGACTCTTAAACCAAAGAGTAGTGGATTAGTGCGTCCTATTTGTGTCTATCATGTTAAAGGCGCGGTAATAACAGGTTGCTGCAGACAATTAGGGTTAGAACACAGAGAGGATGGAGGGAGAGCCGGCAGCGCCCGCGCCCAGCCTCTCGCGGCTGCCCTGGTTTAAAGCCGCCTCTGCACAGACAATGCGAATTGGCTCCTTGCATCTGCTCCCACACCAAAGCCAGCGCGGTGCTGCTGAGCCCCAGCGGTTCGCAGGTCTGCTTGTTACACCCTAGCAAACGCCTCACGGTCGCACAGCACATGGCGGCTGGGCAGCTGGGTGGGCATCGTCCCAGAATACGGTCCCCGCTCAGGCCGAGGTCACGGGGACGCACCATTGCCAAAGGCAGTAGCTAGCAGACGATTTGCTTGTGGCTCGAAAACGTAATATTTGTGTGCTGCATCGATAAAGCAGAGCCTGGGTCCCTTGTATTGTGGCATGCAAGGCTTCACCAGGACACGGTTTGGGTTGAGGGCCTTCTGTACGTTGGGGTAAAAGCATTTGAGTAATCCCCAGGGATGCGGTGTAGCAGCCAGTGTCTCCGCGTGCTCACATCGTTGTCTGGCTCCACACTGAGCAGGCAGCAAAAAATACCTGAATTCACTCTACCTTAGTACAGTGAGGCCTGCTAACAACAGGTTGAATGGCCCCAGGACTGCCTCGTGATGGCTCGCTCTTCCAAGTGAAGGTAAATGCATGTTGCCAAAGAGGTACGGCTTCTAAGGTTGCTGAGAAGCTATCAATAGTGATGGGAATGCCACCAAACCAGCGTACTGACCAGTCTGTCTTACCCATGCTGGGTCACCACCCTACAGCATTGATCTCAGAGAAGTTATAACACATGGATGTGTCCCCTGCCTTCAGTGCTCCCATCAGGCTGGACGTTCACCCAGGACTCTCGCCAGATGTTTATACCCCTTGCTCTCGAGTTGCACCGTTGCTTGTTGTCTCAGCTTCAGGCCAGCATGGAAGGCGAAGGTTTTGCAAACCATCCCCTACGGTCATTTGTGATTTTTTCAGGCCAAAACCTGGAGCTCACTAGGTTGGGAGACGAAGGGCAGGATAATTCAGCCCTGAACTGTCGATTCTAACACTGTTCATCACTGGCCAGACAAGCTCCTCAGCTGCCCAGGACTGTGGGGCCTCCGTTCTTGTGTCCCGCAGGGATGCTTCCTTAGGAGGAATTATTGATTCTTGCTATGATAGAGGTGCAAGTACACAAAAATGCAGTAAAGATGAGTCTCCTGGGTACTCCGGGTGAGGGAAACCAGCAGTTGCAATGTTTGGTGGTAGCATGAGCCCTATTATTCTCTGAGCAGCCCTCTCGCAGGCCGTGCCTCATGGGAAGGAGCAGACAACAGCCAACACATCACCGAGCATGCACAGAGCCCAGAGGCCCCAGGGGG